CTCAATTTAATTTCTCACCATTGATAATCAATTGATATAAACATTTAATTTGGTATTGGTGAGAATAATATCAAGTCACGCCAAACTGCAAGAAAGTGTTATTTTCTTGCTAGTAAAAAGGTATGGTAACAATGGTAAATTTTTTGAAAATTTTGATCAAGGTCTGCAATTGTAAATTATTATATTCATTTTGTTCAAAATTGTCAATATTATTTTTTTTTAATTTTGCACCAAAAATTTGGCAGGCGAATTCTTCGTAAATGAGTTTTTTCAATGCAGAAAAACACTTGATGCGAACAATATCAGTCATTTTTTTTTTATGCACAAGTGGACATGAAACATGAATAGATTGAGTCTGTTATTAGCCAATCAAAGTGCTGTGTAGTATTTAAATTTGAACAACTTTCTTGGTTATAAAAGCTCATTGTCGAAACTCAATTACAATCTTGCTACAATTGTTGAATATGCCTCGGTATCTACAAAAATTTTACCAGTAGATGCCGGGAAAGATTGAACCATTTTCAAAAATGACACTTAACGATTAACTAGAATTTATTTACGTAGTATATTTTTTGTTTTTGTTGTAGGCCAGTACAGAATCTTCCCTCATACGTATGGGTAAGTGTGACACGTGTAGACTGAGGTCAATGAGGTCACTCACATTTTTCTCTCATACTGCGAAAATATTTACAATCGGGTAATTTGAAATACAACATTTTGTGAAAGCCACTGTGACTCTCTCCCATTTTAATGATCCCAATGAAACATGGCATCTCCATTGCATGTACGTTGTGAGTTCGGAGCCGCAGTAACATACATGATACCGATACTGTCTTTTGTGTTTTAATATACCAACATGACTCATCTTGATGGCTGTGCTTCCTAATTTTACAGGCTTCTTAGGGAATACTGTTCAAGGCATCAATTACAGATGATGCAGACACAACAAACAATGCAGGACACATGATGCTTCTCCATGTGTTCTATATAGTCATTAAAACAGTAACAGTAGACTTGGCATGCATGTTGTCATGTGTATCACTACCCGTAAATGTCATGGATATAAAATAGTTTCACTGTACCCTTGGTGTACATGAGAAGTGTATCTATATTGATAGCCTGTGCTAGAATCCATTGTGCCATTTTGTCTTTGATTATAATTTTTATAGTATCTTTGTTTTATAGGATTTCCACAGCACCAGCTGCATGCAGAAAAGGACAAACTTGAGAAGCCTTCCATGTGTATGTGGTAAGACTGACAATATTGGGAATGAATTTACAGTCAGGGTCTACATTTATTCATGTGAAACATGAGCCAATATTACCCTTTGTGGTACCTAATGAATATACATGATGACATGGCATGTAACTTAAATTTAAACTGTTATTAGCTCCAATGTAATGAGTTTTATAGTGAGTCTCTGTTTCTGTCTCTCTGTCTGTGTATATGTCTGTGTATATGTCTGTAAGCAAAATCTTGAAAACTTCTGAACTGATTTTTATCAAATTTAGTAGATAGGTACTGGGGTAGATGAAGTGTATGAAGACATGCATAGTTTTTTGAGTCATGGCTGTGCATATTAAGTAGCTAATTTACATATTGTCTCATTTCAGCCTGTGTAAGCAGAATCTGAAAATCTATAGAGCGGATTTACATCAAATTTGCTATATATTGGTGCTGAACATTTGCTGGCTGATGATTCTAACCTCTAATGCCATTGCTCTTTTACTGGCTAGCTTTTGAGAATTTTCATTTCCTAGATATGTTTGATTGCATATATTCTGTAATCACATGGGAAATTTGCAGAGTTTAACCTATAGTACAATCTAAACATACTTACAGTACAGCTCGCCTCTTTTGAAGACTTGAATTTCGTGATCAATTATGACTTATTAACAACTAGCCTGAGTGGCCTTGTGATATATCGTACAAATATTGTGCAGATTTTTTTTGGTTTGAAACAGTAAAACCTTGAAAAATACATGTTCGATGATGAGGTTTCATGACTCATTGGATGAGTTTTTTGTGTTTTGGAAGAGGCGAGTGCTTTTGCAAATGCACCACAAAACTCATGCAAAAGTGGGGGTGGGTGCTAACAAGGTTAAATATGATGCATGAACTGAAAATCTGACAAATAACAATTCAGCTCATGCCTCTTTAACCGAGGCTATTCATTTACCAGGTTTGGTAATACATTTGTCATTATGTTATTGAGTCTAATGTCCATCTTGTCATTACAAGTCGTACTGTAGAACTGTTCTTGCATAGTATTGGCTTCTTGCTGCAATCAAAACATGAATTAAATATGAGGAAAAGATGATGTTGATCTGATCTCCTTTAAAATGTGTCTTCTTAGATGTTTTTTACTGACAATCAGTGGTATATAATTGTATCGGCAGGCGATCTGGTAATATAATGATTTGGACATTTAATTTTTTCATCAAGATATCCTTGCTCAATATTCATCGTATAAGCCATTTGATTGATTTTTTGGTTTGGTGCCCTTCGTTTATCACAGTTTTTGAGGCAGCCATATTGTCCGATAAGTGGCCATGTTTTGCATACATTTAATTACAAGCTTTTTTCTTGCATTGCAGCCATCTTGATTCCAAAAGCACGCAAGGATTCAGCACCGGAGGATATTTTTGTCCACAGGTAACACTTCTTTTCTACAAATTACTATTTCCTTTAATTAATTTAACTCGATTTTTGATAAAACAGTAATTTTTCGTTCCAGTATCAACAAAGTTGCTCTTCAAATGGTCTGAAATTTGGGTTGTATCATCTAGTTGCCACACAATATTAACTTAATATATTAACCCAAAATCAACCGTGATCGATTACATGGTTTGGCGGCCATGTTGGAATTAAGAAAACCAGAAAATGCAAGGGGGATGCTCAGTGATCTGTAACTTTTGTTGTACGATTACTTACATGTAAATACTTTCAACAACACCTATAAAATATATAGAATGTCACATTACTTTTCATGTTGTTGTTGTTGTATATTGTTACAGCTGATTGGTGTGCATTTATGAACAAATTCTTGAATCTCTGATATTAAAATTGTAATCTTATGGTGTTATTAAGGTTGAAGCCTACTCATGATTTCAAATTCCTAGAATTTATTCATTTTATAATAAATTGTACTTCCAGGCAATATAAGAATATTGACTTAAAAAAAAAGTTGAGGGTCACAAGGTTCATTTTCGAGAAAATCATGGTTGTATTTTAGTGGATAGCGGCCATTTTGGCAGTATTAATAGTGCTTTTACCATAGGTTCCTATGGCTCCACGATTTTACATAATAAACCAATGAACATTGTCATGTGATTTATGACCAACTTTCTCAAAAATGACGAGTAGGCTTCTATCCTACGTGACGTTTTTGAAAGTTTCAACATGCTTCAGTTGTTTGATACATGTCCTCAACATTTCATTTGCTGTTTGTATTTCATATGCTAAATCTTGCCAATTGTGTTTCAGTGCAGATGGATTGACAATTTGTGGTGTAGTGAATTTATATAGCTAATACGATTATTAGGTATAAAAATATGGGAAACAATGTTATTCTACATATATTTTAATGTAATCAATGTCACATAATAGTCCACAACACTAATACACTTATAAGTACCATCTCAGAATATGACTTTAAACAAGTTTCAACTTAATGACTTTTTTTTATCCATTCATCCAATATAATTTTGTTTTTTTTAGTGTAAAAGCAAATACTGTGAACTACCAATAGAATGTAAAGCCTGTGGTAAGTTGTTTTTGTTTCTTGTTGCCATGGTGATATGATGGTAGTACGATGTCATCAAGACCAATATCAGAGCTAATAATTTTCATTCATATATTTATTTGACAATGATGAGATGGGAAGGTCAATAGAAATTGTTGTGGCATTCGTATTTTATGAAAACCACAGCGTGGAGGATAGCTTCAGGAGGGAAAACAGGTTGAGTTTCCCTTTCTGTTGAAAAACCCTTCTTCTCAAAAACTACTGCTGCCTGTGGTTGGACTGAAACCCACACAAACCATCTGGCAAGGATTTCCGTCACTTTCATAAACAACAAAGCTGCAATACAAGACATGTACAGATTTTTCACCAGTTCAGTAGTGAAATATGTTAATTTGTTATTGTCACTCATATTTGTTGAAACTTTTATTTTTACTCATTCTAGCAGCATAACGAATAATCACATTTTGGTTATCCAGACAAACATTCTTGGTTATTTCCGACCGTCATAACCGAGAAAACAGATTAACAGCATAGAAACCCTGAGAACTTGAACTTCATCATTTGTAATGATGTACTGGTGTACACAGTTATAGTTTCTCTGTGTAGGTGATTGCAGAATATAATCAGGGAATGCAAATTTGAATTTGTATCGAGATCTGGCTGAAAATGAGAGAACACCTTCTGAATAGGTGATTTTCCGTTCAGCTGTAAGATCTTGTATATTGGATTAAAGGCGCGAATCAAGCGTCTGTCACAAAAATCGAATGATTTGATTTTGAACTTGTACATCTTTTTTTCATAGCTTGAAGTCAAATAGCTTATCTTTGACATCATCAAATGTGTATATATCCCCCAAAATATATTCGCGTTTGTCGAATCCCACTTGATGTTTGTCAATCACCATTACAACGCTTTGTTTGTCCTGTTTTTACTTTCGATTTCATGCATAGCGTTGGATCTTGCAGTGAACGGAAAATGGTCTACTCAAAAGTGCAATGTATTACTGTACTTTGACATCTATCTTGTTTTCTTATCTTTATCTCAGGTTTAACTCTTGTGTCAGCTCCACATTTAGCAAGATCATTCCATCATCTTTTTCCTTTGGAGTCATTCCAGGAAATCCAGCTGTCGGATCTACAGGAATCAGATAGCAGGTAAAATAAATGACTTTAAATTGTTGTAGTCGTTGCACCACACTATGTTCGATATGAGTCCCATATACAATGTGTGTAAAATATTAATAATTTAATAGTGAAGTTGTTTGGTGCCGAGTTTATAAAACATTCATATGAATTAGTGTTGTTTCTGAATACCTCTTCAATTGTATTCTCTTCTGCAGGGTGTGTTTGTCTTGCCTGAGTGAATTTAAAGATAAAACAGTAAGTTCTATTATTCTGTAAATAAGTTCACTGTTTTTCTAAATGTTAACTGCATCTTTTGATGCAAGGGAGAATATTGTCTTTGGCTTAGTCCAAAACAGGAACTTGTGTTTTGGGTTCTGTCAGTCTGACCGACCGGTATTATTTCTCTGTTATGTCTGGGTTAATTTGGTTCAAAGTTGGTACAATGACAATGTACAAATGTACATAGATTTTACACTTGGATTCCTTTTGTGAAGATTCAAGAATTTGATTTAAATGGCCAACTGGTAGCCATTTTGTTTATTTCCAATTGTTAAGTCTGTTTCTTGGAGACACTTTTACAGATTTTGTTTAAATTTGGTACAAATGCAAAACCTGATGGGTTGCATGTTATTTTGGGTTTGCGATGAAATTAACAGACTAGTGTAGTATTTTACACGTATTACGTAACTGCTTTTGTAGACAAGAACAACTGATGACCCATAGAAATAACACCTGATATACACATGTATCACAGTGAACTACTGGTACATGTATTTCATCATATGCCATGACTATTTCTCAGGTTTGTCTGCGCAGACTTTATTTAAATTTATTACCCACTTCACGCATCATATGTTAGTTTTTGTCATTTCATTTAAAATGGCCAACTGGCAGCCATGTTTTATTTTCATGTGTCTTTAGCCTTAGCACTTTGACAGACTTTATTCAGTTTTAGTGCAAAGACAAGACAGAATGGCAAACATTTCGATTTGCTTTTTGTGTTGATGATGTTTTATGATCTTTTCTTATCCCCCAGAATACCAAAAAACCCTTCTTCATGGTCAAGTTCATTCAAACTTGAAATTGACTTTAGTCATAGTGCTTTACTGATGCGCATCATTTGGTTTTTCATTTTGCTTTTAAATGACCGACTGGTGGCCATTTCTCAGATACACTTTTATGGCTTTTGAATAAATTTTGTACGAAAGCAAGGAACAGTGACATAAATAATGATTCTTTTTTTTTTAGTCAAGTTTTTCCCATAAACTTCAACTGAAATTTAATTGAATATATCATAAATTTCTCAGGCATGTCTTGGTCAATTGTATTCAAATTTGGTATAAATGACACCCATGTTTTAGGATTTGATTGAAAATAGCCAATTGGCGGCCAACTCTCATTTTTCTGTTTTACAGGTGTACAGATGTGCAAGATGCTTAAATCTGTTTTGTATAGACTGTGAACTATTCATCCATGATTCACTACATACCTGTCCTGGATGTACGAGTACAAGACCCAAAATGCTGTAATTCTCGTCTTAAGCGTAAAACCAAAACACCAAAATGCTCTGACAATGCTCTCCTCTATAGCTATCAAGTTATTGGATACAAAGCCTCCTACACCTCTCACTATGCATCATGGGAAATAAGTTTATTCAAAATGAATATGGGAATCAGAAGTAGACATTGATAACAACTGAGGAAGATTTTTATTTATTTGATTGTTTAGGGTGGTATTTCAATACATGGGATTAAAACCAAAAAGAAGTGCCTGCTTTACATTGACTGCGTAGTATAACTACTATGTGATTGCACAACACACAGACTCTTATCTTGCTATCATTGCTTGTCTTACAGTTGATTCCGATATAGGCAGTGTGTATTTCATATTATTGTTAAAAATGTAATTACGCCAAATTTTCACAGATTTCAGAAGGATATTGCAGCAGTGTAAATTTCATATATATATTTGACCAAAAAACCTGCTTGCTTATTTAGTGGTCGCACATTTCAAGCTCCATCAATGTTCTGAGTGAATGCACGCCCATTTTCCATGCACATGGTTATATTCTGTGGTACGCCTCATTGTATAAAAGAGAACACATCTATATAATCACTGTATAGATAAACAAACAGTAAACATGGCTGTAAAATTGAAAAAACTTATCTGCCATTGCATCTTAGAACGTCTCATGCATCAGTGCTGCGTACGTACTAACCTAGGCATTCTTACTTGATCAGAACTGGTAAAAAAAAACATGATAACTTCTATAAGCGATAAGCATATTTTGGCAGTTTTAGTTGCACACTCTTTTGAATGTCAAAATGCTGCAATGTTCATGGGAATTATAGTTTAATGATCTGATCACATGGTGGTAAATATGGCCATTCTAAGGGTCCAAAAATATTCTTTCGGTAAAAGTGTATAAGCATAAATTGCTGAAGATTTTTACCTCATTGTGGCTCCAAAACTGGTCATTAATTTCTGTTACCACACAAGTAGTGGTACAATAACTAAGTTATATTGCAAAATTTATGAATTCTTACTCTATCAGAACTGGTAAAAAAAAAAGATCACTTCTATAAGCAATAAGCGTATTTTGGCAGTTTTAGTTGCACACTCTTTTGAATGTCAAAATGCTGCAATGTTCATGGGAATTATAGTTTAATGATCTGATCACATGGTGGTAAATATGGCCATTCTAAGGGTCCAAAACTATTCTTTCGGTAAAAATGTATAAGCATAAATTGCTGAAGACTTTTACCTCATTGTGGCTCCAAAACTGGATAATAACTAAGTTATATTGCAAAATTTATAAATTTTAGGCAGTTTTCTACAGTTTCATCAAGGGTTGTGCATTAACTTAGCATAACTGATTTAGTATAGGAGGACAGTGGGCTAATCACACCGTATATGCTTATGTATATCACAGTGAACTGCATTCCATCACATATTGCCTGATTTGCTCATTTAGTAGAGTAACCATGCACCCACACTGTTCATACATCTGGCAATCATTGGTTTAAATCTAGGGTGTTTCTGCTCAAAACAAAAAAAACTAGTAAACATAGAAATTTTCAAACAAAGATGGAGTACTTTCCTAGTAAATGCTGGCGGGAAGCATCATGCATAAAACAATGGGCTTGTCGCTGGATTTTGCAAAATGTCCTCATTAAATGCTACATTGCAAAGTTTTCCAGTGGATACTGTGATGGGAAATAATTTGTGAAAGTATTTTATCAGTGTATCACGATCATGATTGTACATGTCATTGAACGAGCAGTTGAGCAATAGATGGCAATGTAGATAAGGGCAGTATTTATATTTTGTTGGATAACAAAACTCATCGTAGTTTTTCTACATGTATTTACACAACTTTGAATGGAAATGTGTACTTTGTAATAAAAGATTATAATTAAAACGACATGGTGTGGTGTGTGATTTAAAAAAAACTCTCAAATGTCAGTTTGAAAATATTTTGAAACCCCAATCAACACAACTTGTGGTCTAAGGTATACTGACATGATTACACACAAATCATATCCGTTGCTTATACTGATAACATCTAAAAAAAATGCAGCAGTCAAAAACACATTTACAAGTTCAAATAAACTTGCCCGAAGATCCTTGTGTGAGCCGCACAAGTTACTGGGCCCCTGCTGTGACCAACTTGGAAATAGTTTGAGTCCACTGGTGAGCAGTTGGTAAAGTTTCGTGGAAAGTCTGTAACACTACATGGAAAATCGACAAACTTTCATGCAAAATTAGTAAATTTACATGGTGGGTCTGTAATGCTCTATGGAGAATCGGCAAACTGTCATGCAAATTTGAGAATGCTACATGGAGAATTTCCAAAGGGATGTCTGAAGTGTGAAAAGTCGGAAATGATGCTCGGAAAGTAGCTAAACTTGCATGCAAAGGTGAAAAAATTATATAGGAAGTTTGTAGCGCTACGCGGAAAGTCTGTAAACATTCATGGACAATTTGAAAAATTACATGGAATGTAGATAAACTTGCGTGCAAAGTTGATCATGAAGTTAAGTTTACGCCATGAGAAATGTCGGTAAACTTGCGTGCAAAGTTTGTAAAGTTTCGTGACAAGTCTAACATTATCTGGTATGTTTGTAAATGTGCCTGTAAAGTTGGTAAATTTACTTGCAAAATCTGTAATTCACCGTGAAAGCTAGTAAGCGTACATCGTCAAGTAAAGATGAGATTTGTGGAAATTTGGCGTGTGAAATCACGGGGAAAATATGTAATATAGGTGAAAGCCTATAAAAACGCGTACAAAGTTGATAAAGGGAGTGTGTTACTGCATGAATAGTCTGCAAAGTCGCCTCCAAAGCTGGCCAAGGTACATGTATGTTGATAGTGTGTTATCCTATGCGGGACGTATTAAAAGTTGTCGTCAATGTTGACAAAATTACAAAGATGTGCGGCAAGCCTGTAAAGTAACGCGGAATATGTGTAATGCTACATGGAACGTCTGTAAAGTTACGTGCGAATTCAACAACATTGGATGCAACGTTGGTTATGAAAAACCTACGTGAAAAGTCTGTAATGTTACGTAAAATTTCCGTACCATTGCTGTTGTAATGATATAAAAAAATGTATGTACAATGTAATATTGCCATTCCTGGTAATGGAATGTTGTTATCGCGACCAGGACGACTAGCTTCGTAACGTTTCAAGTTCCGAACAAGCCCTTGGTACTCACTGAGTCGTATCATGCGTCTGATCATTGTAGACAGGACGCCAACCCGCGGTGACAATAAGAGAAGTTACCCTCACAAGGGCATGCCCCCCCGGCGGGGGAGGGGGGGACAGGGGGGTGTCTGAGAAGCCCGGGGGGGCTACTTTCATAGAAGTGCAATACGGGTATGTGCCGCCCGACTGGGGTGTCATTTCACGTTATTTTGTTTAGAAGTGGGTAGCTATTTATCAATGTTTTGGTTTAGAAGTGTGTAGCACTTATTTACTTTTTCACATATCCTTATATTCGAAGCCAAATACCGGAAAAGGCTGAATAAAATGCATTGCCCGGATGCGCTCACTGGTAGCGAAAGTTTATGAGCTGGGTGTTTTTTTCCCCTGAAAACACTTGTGTTTAGAAGTGGGTATATAAATAGAAAAAAAATGGTTTAGAAGTGAGTATGGTTTTTGAGAGGTGGGCTTCACACCCTTACCCACTTAATGTGGAAGTAGCCCCCCCCCCCCCCCCCCCGCTGAGAAGGGGGGACTGCCCTATGTTCCGACATCCCTATGTTCCGACACCACTATGTTCCGACACCCCTATGTTCCGACACACAGTATACTTGTGTCAAACTTTATCTGACTAGCCGTGCGTGACCTTTTACTACTATCGGGGGGAATATCCTTCTCTGATGGGTTCTCCACACTTGTCAGGGGGGAAACTCGTCTCGTCTCTCTATCGCGTCCCCTTGAGGTACGGGATCGGGGAAGTCACTTATACTTTACAGTCAAATAAGACACACACAACGAAATACGTTTCAGCTCTCGTCTTAGTCGGTCAATCGAGCACTCTACAAGACACAGCGCCCTGGGGAAAAAATCCCCAAGACTATCGCAAGGCTGACCCAAGACTCTCTTAGACTGCGTCAACACTCGCCCCAAGGCTCTCCAGGACTGGACTCGACTACGTCTATCCTAGAGTACTTGCCAAGACCGACTCAAACTCTCTTTATTCATTTTCACTATGGAAACCAACTGTCAGAATCGATAGAATAGCGACGGTTATCTCGTAATTAGTTCCAAATCACTGAGCCAAGTTCCGTCCAAAACTTCAAATAGGCCTAAACGATGACAGACATAACACAGCAATTCGCTAATAATCAGCTAATTAAGTCGGTCAACGGATACGCGAAAACAAATTCATGACACATCCCTTCACCCAAACTGAGATTGTGCCTCCTGGCATAACACGTTCACAAATCAAAGATACCGTCCCCTACTCATCGTCATAGGGTTAAATACAATACTAATAA